CCTCCTCCTCCTCCTCCCTGTCCCAGATCTGAAAGCAGACGGCTTTGGCAAAGAACCCTTCTTCAAATGTCTTCTGGCCGAAGCACCCCCAGAAAACGCAGGCACGCAAGGTAAAAGCCAGGCCCCAGGCCCAGACTTGTGAAACCTAAAAGGCTAACAATTTATCAAAGCTTTAACGTCAGTGTATCAGTCTCCTTCACGAGATGCGCAGAATAAGGTCCTGCGAGAGGCAGATAGGGTTATTAATCAGAGAAATGTAGAATGTAAGGGTTGGATGGGATCTTAGAGATCATGTAGTCCAGTGTTGTCCAAACCTGGCCACTTAAAGATGAGTGGACTTCAACTCCCAGAATTCCCCAGCCAGCCATGGGAGTTGAAGTCCACTCATCTTAAAGTGCCCAAGTTTGGACAACACTGATGTAGCCGAACCCGTTGTGCAGTGCAGGGATCCACTTCTACAACACCCACCCCTGACAGATGGCCACCCAGCCTTGGCTTAGGATTTCCGATCCTGCGGGCAACTGAAGATATTCAACTGGCTTCGATTAAAAGAGAGCGGCCGGAAATCAACACACAACTTCTCTATAGTGAACATTGGCCACATGGAATGTTGCTAACGCATCAGTAATGCCATTATTGTGTGATCAAAGAGCAGTTACCAAAATCGAGTGAGATTATGCACCGAGGTCAGCTTGTGCACAAAGGACGAGCTTTCGCACTGTAATACCTGTTTTTATCCCCCCCCCCAAGTTTGCTCATTGAATGTGGAATTGTGGCTCTTGATACCACCCAATTGCGTTGTTTTACGCCCAATGCAGGTCGCCCTGTGGGCTACGCGTTGTTCTTTATGGGATACAGCGTCAATCACGGACGAATGGTATACCTGGAAAATCTATACGTGGTGTCAGAATTTAGAGGTAGGTCAGAAAGTCGTGTTGAAGTCCAACGCTCTTTTAAAAAAACAGTCCTTATGACCAATACTAATCTGATTAGCAGGCGTTATTGGCTCTGCCAATTGGAGTGACTTCTGAGTGCCCATTCAGAGATTTGCTCTGCCAGTGAAGGGTGTGTGTGTGTGTGCACATGCGCACGTGTGGTGTGTGTGACACTGTTGAACCCAGGAGCAAAAAGAGCAGTAAAACTCCACCTTCCTGACTTTGCCGGGAAACGTCTATCGAAGCGTTTCTCGAACTCAGCAACTTTAAGATAGATGGATTTCAACTCCCTGTGCTGGGGAATTCTGGGAGTCGAAGTCCGCCCCTCTTAAAGTGGCCAAGTTTGAAAAACACTGAACTAGATGAAGGTTCACTTTGGGCAAAATCCAGTGTTCCCCCAAAATTATGGTTGTAAAATGTTGCAATTATTGGATTTTTTAAAATCTAATTTGGATGGCACTTTTGGTGCAATGCACTGACTTCATCGTGGTTTCTTCTCACCAGATAAAGGAGTCGGAAGGCAGTTACTGGCCAAAGTTGTGGAAGTAAGTTCTGGATTTAACCCTCCTGGGGTCTCCGCGGTAATGGCATGGCAGGCTGGTGGCTACCTCTTCAGGACTTCCCCAAATGGGGAATTGTTCTCCCTTTCTTAGGAAACACAGACATGACTTCACACCTTTGCATGGCTTTGTTTCCTGAGGAAGAGGACAACAATCCAGTTGTGTAGTTTTATGCCCGGCCTGGAGAAAGTGGACAGGGAAAAGCTCTCCAGATATGGGGACCAGGGTCATGTCGTGAAGCTGCTTAGAAGGTTTAGAAAGACAAAAGAAGGCCCATCATCACCCAGTGCATGAATAGCTTGTGGAACTCACTGCCACAGGATGTGGAGAGGGCCACCAAGTTGGATGGCTTTCTGAGGGGGCTAAGTACACTCCTGGAGGACAGGTCTACCTTATTGGCCTTGAAGCCTCCATGTTACCTCTGCGTTGGGGGGCAGAAGCCTCCAAATACGGGCT